GAATTTATCTTAGCAATACACCTGCACCTGTAGGAAATGAAAATGTGTGAGTTCATTCTTTGCCCCTATATATTTTTCTGTTTGTTTGTTTTGTTCCCTTTTTTGTGTGGAACTGGGGATTGAACTCAGGGCCTTGTGCATGCTAGGCAGGCACTCTATCACTGAGCTACATCCTCAGCCCTTGCTCCTATATTTTTAATAGAAAAAGATTAGAGACAACCTTGTACAGAAGGCACTGGTTAAATAAACTATGGTACACCCACACAATTGTATATTTTATGGTCATAGACAAGAATAGGAAAGCTCGTACTGTACTGATAATGCAGAAACTTCCAAAATATGGTGTTTTTTTCTTAAAGCAAGGTGCAGAGCATGTAAATAGCATGTTCCTTTTTTGTGTAAGAGATTGTGGAAATAAGAAAGTATATTTGCATTTCTTTATTTGCATAAGAAAACACTGGAAGGACACATAAAATAATAAAAGATTACTTACAAGGAAGAGGGGATGGCAGAAGGACTTCTCAGCATTCGCCTTTTTATATCAGATTAATTTTTGAAACATACAAATGCTTTTCTTACTTAAAAATTAAATTAAAAATAGAACTGTTAAATAATTATATGTCTGCACAATGGAATACTAGATAGTGTTTAAAATCAGTGTTGTAGGTGTTTAAATACATAGAGAAATGTCTAAAATACATAACAGGTAACAAAAGCAGGTTATAAGGAAGGAAGGTAGAGTCTTATAATTTGAGGGATTATCTTTATTTCTTTAGTACAGTTTTCTAAAAGAATGATCCAGTCAAACATCCCATTGTAAGTCTATTTTAGTCCTAACCTCCAGCATCTCATCATGTGATTATCCTGGAAAATATGATTTTTAGAGGTTACTAGTTAAAATGAGACCATTTGTGGGTCTTAATCCAATATGATAAATCCTTATAAGAAGAGGAAATTTGGGTCAAACTCCCAGAAGCCAAAGTGGTAAAGCAGGGACGCCTCACAGAAAGTATTGCCTGCTACAGGAGATAAACTTGTAGTGGTTGACTTCGCAACCACATGGTGCAGACCTTGCAAAATGATCACGCCTTTCTCTCATTCCTGTGTGAAAAATGCACCGGTGCCTTGTTCCTTGAAGTCCGTATGGATGACTGCCAGAAGGTTGCTGCAGAGTGTGAAGTCTGATGTATGCCAACCTTCCAGATTTTTAAACAAGGTCAAAAGCTGGGCACATTTTCTAGAGCCAATAAAGAAAAACTTGAAGTCACCATTAATGAATTAGTCTAATCATGTTTTCTGACCAATATAACCAGCCATCAGTTGTTTAAGACTTGTAAATTTGTTTTCTTTTATTTCGATAAATATGAGGTGTGGAAACTATATACTAAACCACTATTGACTATAAGTGCTAATAAAATATTAATTCTACCCTTCTTTTTTATTTTTTTATTTTTTGGTCTTTTTGAGACAGGGTCTTGCTATGCAGTTCAGGCTGGCCTTGAGCTCACTTTGTAGCACAGGCTGGCCTCGAACTCACAACAATCCTCCTGCCTCAGCCTCCCGAGTACTGGGATTACAGGCATGTACCACCACGCCTGGCTCCTTCTTTTTTAAAAAGCAGGAAATTTGAATACAGATGTGTACAAAGGGAAGACCACATGAAGACATGGGTTGAAGATGGGGTTTACAAGCCAAAGAGAGATAACCCAGAAAAAAAAAAATCCTGCTGTACCTTGGATCTCGAACTTCAAGGTTTCAGAATTGTGAGAAAGTATGTTTTTGTTACTAAGTCACCCAGCCTGGCATGGTGGCACATTCCAGCACTCAGGAGGCTGAGGCAGGAGGATTGCTGTGAATTTGAAACCAGCCTGGGCTGCATAGTGAGTTCAAGGCCAGCTTAAACTAACTACACAGTGAGATCCTGTCTCAAAAAACAAAACCAAAAACAAAAACCTAAGCCACCCAGAATGCTGTCCTTTTTAATAGCAGCCCTAGCAAGCTAAATAGCATTATTGACACACATTCTCAAAATATCCCAGAGCTCATACCCATCAGTAATGCATGCGAATGGCTGTTCCCATTACACCTTCTGCTAGAGCTAATTACGTAAGTCAAACAAGGATATCACGTTTCCATTTGCATTTATTTACATTTTCCTTATATTGTATTGCAAAGTTGGAATGCCATTATTCTGCCATGATCAGTGAAGCGAATGATTATTCTAGAGGAATAAAGCTTTTGGAAAGTAGTGACTGAAGAGTGCGTTATAGACTCCATCCCTGCCCTGCAAGGAGGAACGAGGTTATAAAGCCTCTCCCGCCCCCTGCTCCCCCCGGCCAATATTGCTCCTTTCCACATAATAACCCTGACTGGAGCTGCTCCCTACCACTCATCTTTTCCTGCTCTGTTTCCAGCTTTCCCAGCTCTCCCTGAGACTATACCTAGGCCAGTATTTAGGAAAGGCAAGAATTTCAATCCTAGAAACAAACCCAACATCTCCATAGTTGTACATCCAGTGGGCCGAGCACGACAGTTAAAAACAATTATCTTGAGTAGAAAACACAGCCAAACACTCAGCCTTAAGATCCAGGGATACTTTGGGCTCTAAGATGTTCTGCATTGCATGACAGCATCTTTACATCTGACTCATCCAGAGACTAAACTGCAGTGACTTACAAGGGAGAACTTGCTGACTAATTAGGGCAAGGCGAATTCACAGAGAATGCCCTGCAGTGCGAAGAGGCAAGGAAATGCTAAGAGCAAACAGGCTCGTCTGACTGTTCGCAGCAGGAGAAAGGAGGCTGCATTTGAAACTGAATATGTGCTCACATCCCCATATCCGGGAGGCTGGGAGAGAATCCCCAGCAGGTAGAGAGAGCTGGCTGTACGAAGGACAGCCGTGGTTAGCAGCCAGCCCAGAATGCGCTCCTCAAAGGTCTACTGTGATCAGTGCAACAACGGCCTTTGAGCACATGACAACCTTACCTCAGATTTCTCTACTTCCTGCCCCATGTTATATTCTTTTTTTTCTTTTGTTTTTTGAGACAGGGTCTCACTATGTTCAGCCTGGCCTTAAACTCACTATGTAGCCCAGGCTGGCCTTGAACTTGCAGAGATCCTTCTGCCTCAGCCTCCCAAGTGCTGGGATTACAGGTATGTGTTGGCATACCCAGCCCAGTGTTACATTCTTAAAGACAAAAACGTGCTCTAAAGACAGCTCAAAAATCCAGAGAACTCAAATCCTACAAAGTTGGCAGTGCCTAAGTCTTTCATGCCACCACCTAAATTATGCAATCGTTATTACTTATTATTGGTTCAATTTATAGAACTGGTTTTGGCTATAGGAAGCCTTTTGATTTTCACCAAAAGTTATGTCAAAGAGCTTGTCATGGTAAATTCACTTCCTCTTTCTTTCTTTTTTTTTAGCTCATCTAAGATGGCACAGTCTGGTTGCCCCACAGTTTAATACACCAAAAAATATAGAAAGGGACCTCACTGAAGTGCACACTGTTTAACTTTTCAACACTATTTTCCACTGACCACCCTCAGTCTGGAATTTTACATCATCAGTCTGATATAGGAAAAATATAACTCCAAACCTGTTAAAAGTGAAAAGTGCTGAGTTTGTGGTCTCACAACATCGAAGAATGAAGTTGTGAACCAAAGGAAGACGTTAGGAGTTTCATTAGAAATAAGGGGAAAGAGCCGGGGATATAGCTCAGTGGCATAAGCTCTTGCCTGGCAATCCTGAGGTCATGAGTTTGAGTCCTGGTACTAAAAAAAAAAAAAGTCTGCTGAAATAAGGGGAAAGGGCAGGGGATTTAGCTCAGTGGCACAGCGCCTACCTGGCAAGGGCGATGTCGTGAGTTCAATTCCCGATACCAGAAAAAAAAAAAAAAAGGAAATAAGGGGAAGAATAGCTCCTGGATTTTCAGGAGGGTCTTGAGTGGGCGGCCACCAATGCTCTTTGTCAGGGGTAACTTATATGGCAGATTCACAATGGGGGTACAATGTGGGTCAAACTACAACCAACCTATAGGATTACAAGTATAGCTGCTTAGCCAATATTGAGCCGATAGGGAAACAGGTCATGTAGAAAGGGCACATGGAAAGATCAAAGGAATTCTTGGAAAGAGAGGGGGGTATGGTTCCAGGTATTCTGGTAGCCCACCCATGCACCTGAAGCCTATCTGGACCCACCGGACCAGGCGGTGGTAATTACAATGTAATCTCAAGTTGCTGTTTGCCACAGGCCTGGCTATGGCATCACCTTCCCGAGGACTGGCTCTCTTCAGGTCTGGCTCTAGCCACAATTCCGATATCTCTATTTTTTGTGCTGACTTCCTTGCCCAGTCCTTCTCTGACTGTATATTAATGTCTGTTTAACTTAGCCTGTCTATAATAAACCCATCCAGTGATATCTGAGGTCAATGGAAGGTTTCCGTCCAGCCTACCAGGCCTTGCCAGTTTGGAACTCCACACATCAGTGAGAGTCCAGCAGCTGTGATTTCTCACAGACAAACATGCCTGCCTCCCTGCCCCCAAGGCCTGCTCTCCCCTAGGTTGTCCTTCTGACACTTGACTCTAACACCCCCAAATTTCCCAACATCTCTAAATATGATTTTTGCATCTAATAATAAGTCTCTGGTGTTAGATTTCATCGTATCTGTGTGGTCTGGGTAAATAAGCAGCTCCCCCAAGCAAGTAAGAACCATCTTATTATACTTCCTGTATCAGTATCAGTGTAGTCCAAGGGAGAAGGATTCCAAACCAGTAGATAGAACAGGTCAATTCCAGCTCCAGTTCCCTTTGTAACTGGTTGTGTGACCTTGGAAAAGCAATTTAAGCCTTTCACCTCTAGGATGTAGCTTTTCCCAGTACCAAAAATAAATAAATAAATAAATAAGTAATATGGAATGTAGTTTTAACTGTGAGAAATTTTGTAAGTCCATTCTGTCCTCACCATTTTTATCATCAAAGAATATTTATCAAATGCCCACCTGGTGATGGTGTGCAAACCTAGGCAGGCAGCTGTAGCCTCCATTCATCAGGGTCCTAAAGCAGGACACTTCAGCCTCTAAGATTATGCGCAGTTTTGCTGCTGCATGGGAAACAAGAGAAAAACACACAGAAGAAAATCTTTTTTGGGGAAAAAAAGCTAAATTTATTTAATAGTCTACAAAGCTCATCCTCTATTTTAAGGTACACCTAATATGCTTTTTTTGGTGTAAAAAATGCCATTTGTAATACTATGGCCAAATCAGATATTACTTTACAAATTGTCTTTTCCACCAATATTGTTTTTGCTCTTTTTAAAGTACATTTTCTTCTTTATCTCCGAAAGATTTTACTGAGGTGAATTCTAGTCTAGATTCCACTAGACTGCAAGGCTCCGTCTTGGGAAGGGGCTGGGACCCCACCTCAGAGTCCACCATCTTCTCCCCCACTCTGTGGTGAGTAGTTTTAGAAAATTCCGAGCTGGTGGCCTCTGAACAAGGTAGGGCCTCGTACGTACCCTGCCGGTCAGAGTCCATGTGGCTGGGGAAAGTCGCTTAAGCTGTCTGTACTCTAGCTTCCTCATCTGTAGAATAGGATCTACATGGGGTCATTAACTGTCCACCTTTCCTCCTAATGGGACCCCTGAGAATGGCACCTGCACAACCCTTTGCACCCTGCTCCCCAGGAGCCGGCCAAGGAGGACTTCCCTCCTGTCGCTCTCCTTCGATGCCAAGCATTTGAAATTCAAGTGACTAAATTGATGCTACGGTAACAGTGGTTCTAAACCGGAGGGTCAGAAGGCCTGGAAGATTTATCAACCCCAAGTTGCCAGGCCCCACCTCCACTTTCTGGCTTAGTAAGTCTGCAGGAGGGCTTGAAATTTTGCATTAATTCTAAGTTCCCAGGTGATACTGAGCCATCCGTTGAGAACCATTGTATGATAGGGACTTTGAATACCCTGGAATTTAGTAATCAACCAATCTGCCAGTCACAAACTTCACTATTATTTGTAACAAATTACTTTCTATACTTTGATTCAGCTGCTGAATTAGTAACCTCTCCAAGGCCTTCCAGCTAAAAAATGCTGTGTTTAAATGAGGCAAGACAATGGGCCTTGATTCAACAACTCGGCTCTCTCTGCAATCAGATCTGCTTTCAACTCTTTTTCAATACTCCCCCCATCCCAGCCTCCACTCCACCTACCTAAAGACTGACACTCAGCTTTTTACGAAACAAGAATGGCATGTTACATTCAGCTTAAAGGCAGGATGGAGTGTACTTCTCTGAGTCTTGGCAGTTGAAATGAGAATCTTCTGTTCTCCTTAGGGATAGCTCTAAAGGACCAAATCTACATGGTAGCTCTTCTATGGTTCCCTCCAGGCAGAGTGAATTTGTTCATTGCACACACACACACACACACACACACACCCGTCTCTACTGGGGATCGAGCCCAGGGCCTCACACATGCTAGGCAAGCACGCTGCCATTGACCTGTATCCCTAGCCCCTTTTAAAAAATTTTATTTTCAGCCAAGATCTTGCTCCTAAATAGCTGGAACTACAGGAATATGTCACAGTATCCAGTTGCACTTTTAAGAATTTCCAAGACAGCTTGATGTGGTAGCGTATGCCTATAGTTCCAAGTTCTTGGGAAGCTGAGACAGGAGGATCTCAAGTTCAAGGCCAGCCTGGGTAATTTGACAAGATTCTTCTCAAAAATAAATAGAAAAACAAAAGCACAATGCCAAGACAAGTATGGTCAGGTATTGTTCTTACTCTGATAGAACCTGCCTGTCATTTTAAGTGGTAACCCAAAAGAAACCAAAGGCAGTTTAAGTGATATATACAGGCTTTCCTAATAGCAATGTATTTTCTGTGAAAACCTCTCAACCAATTGCTCTTTAGAGACTGGTTGTCTAAAAGAAAAAAGAAATATTTCTCTGGGGCTTCAGAAATCTATTGGTTTTCTAGTCTACTAGAGGCTGAAAAGGCAAGTTAGCCTCATAGGCAGTGAGAGCAGCAGTAGGGACTGGCTCCCTCTCCGGAGGTCCACCTGCTTTAAGTAGACTGACAGCTGTGGCCACGAAGTGAAAAAAGTCTTTTTTTCCATAGGGTGAGTTCCAATCTGCCTTTTGTATTTACAGTGTTCTCCCCTTCCCCATGGGGCTCAGCCATCCTGAGGGCAGGGCTTCTCCAGTTACTCCGCATACACTCACAGGCTCACTTCTGCAAAGGCCCTCACAGATGCATCAAGGTAGTACTTTTCCAGTTTCTGAGTGTTTCTTAATCCAGGTAAGTTGGCACCTCAAATAAACCCTCACAGTACTCATTTTTAATAAAATTACCTAACCTATCAAAATTCTATGTGCCAGGCATTAGTCTAAGAATTTCCCAGGTATTAATTCATTTAATTCTTGTAACAGTCCCATAAGTACTACTGTTACCTCCATTTTATAGACAAGGAAACTGCAACCCGAAGAATTAATTACTTACCCAAAGTCACATTAGTTAATGAGTGGTAACAATAAACTTCAAATCAGTTCTGACTGCAGAGCTGCACACTATTATGCTATAAAACAAAACAAAATGGAAAGATTAACTCTAAGAACAATGATAGACAACAAGAAAACCATAGGTTAATTAAATCCAAAATTCAAATGTTTTACTGAATCATTTGACAATGAGAGCCTGTTATGGGTCAAATTGTGCCCCACTACCACATAAAAGATATGTTCAAACCCTAGTCCCTGTTACCTCAGAGTGTCAACTTATTTCAAAATTTGGTCACTGAAGATATAATTAGTTGATATGATCTTGTACTGACTACTGTGGTCTCTAATTCAGTGTGACTAGTGTTCAGATATGACGGTCACATGAACACAAAGACACAGAGGGAGAAAGCCATGTGATCATAAAGGTAGAGATTGGAGCTATGGCATAGTAAGGAAAGGAATATCAAAGGTCGCCAGGAATCATCAAAAGCTGGAAGAATTTCCCTACAAAATTCACAGAGATGGCAACTCCACTTTGATGTCAGACTTCCAGCCTCCAGGCCGTGAGGTTGTCTATTTTTGCTGACTTAAGCCAGCAGTATGGGGACTTTATTTTGGCAAACTTCTACAAAACTGATGCATTCTTTTTTGGTCTCTCTTACTTGGCCCTCCTCACTTCCAATGGCAGTGTGAGGACAGCAGGCCCCCTTAGTAGCAGCAGACACAAAAACCTGCTTGTTCACGCAGAGGCTGGGGTGATTGGCCTGCACATTATAGGCGCTTAATAAATGCTTATCAACTGAATAAATTCTTTCAACATTTCCTAAGGAACTTTACTTTACCAGGGTTATGTGAAAAGGGGACAAGCAGACTTGAAAATCAAGAGTACACAGTAAAAAATTCCCTTCTCAAATCCATAGAAGACTGGATAAATATTAGCTACTGAAGATTCTTCCAGCATCCCTAATATAAGTAAAAATGGCTGTCCTAAGAACTGGCTCTTGAACACATGTTTCATTGATCTCTCTGTCTGTGACTATTATTTCCATTTTCTTGGAAGTGCTAATAAATGGAAAGAGTTATGAAATATATAGCAGGAGAGGGGAGCACAATCCCAAAACATGATCAAAACACCTTGGATAATGAGAAGGAACCACTGTCAAACTGTAGAAAAGTACTTTGAACATACACATCCATGTGAGAGAAAATGGAGTACTGTGAACACATTGGTATCTAATGAGAACTTATAAAGGCACTTCAAAAAAGGTTGACCCAACATCAAAGATTGAAGTGATTATTCTGAATATAAATTCAATAAACATCTTCAAAGCAGAGAGTGAAGAAAAGTGTGTATAATACAGTCTCATTTTAATACAATGATGAGAAAAATTGCTGCATATGTATGAGTATAAAACTACCAATGTTCGTTTATGTGTAAAATTTCCAAAGAAGGAGGTAGAAAGATGCTGTGTCATGCTCTGGCAATAGAAATAGAACAAACTGACATAAACTTCGTATATTAAAACAACAGAAAGTAGTTAAATGCACAGACAAGGGCACTAATCTTAATCCTGAAGAGTCCACCCTCGAGACATGATTACCTGCAAAGGCCCCAACCCCCAGCACCTACCTGTGAATTCTGAGAAGAGACAAACATTCTTCCTGTTGTGCTCTCTTATGAGACCTGACTGTGGTTAGGGCACATGAGTACTCTAAGATAATATTCCTGTATCAACATCCTTGGTTTAATTTTATGCACAAAGATCCTCCTTCCATGTAACATTTTCTGCAACAAAACATGTTCCAGGAATTAGGACTTGATATATCTGGGTGCCATTCTTCAGTATATCACAGACAGGTACTACACACACCGTTAGCACGGAGAGCGGTGGTGTGGTAGCCAACCAGCCAGGCAGACGGGTCCCAGTGATTCACCTCTCCTTATTCATTCCTTTATGTAGTCAACTCCCACCACAAGAGTGCTGGCTGTGTAACTAAACACAACAGGGCAGAAGCCACAGTGTGTGCTTTCCAGCCTGTCATAAAGGATGCAGTGGTTTCTGCCTTAGGACTCCGAGGGAAATTAGCCATGATGTAAGGACACTCAAGCAGGCTCACGGAGAAGCTGTCACAGGGAAGCACAAAGCACTCCCACCAACAATTAGCACCAATTGCTAGTTGGGTAACTGTGGCTCCTTGGAAGTGGATCTTTGAGACCCAGCAAGCCCTTAGATAACCACTGACTCAGAACTGCCCCAGTTGCAGCCAAGTCTCTCCTGTCCTACAAAACTATGCAAATGATGTTTATTGTTATTTTAAACCTGGGAGGAGGATAATTTGTAACAGAATGATGTGGGAGAAAAAGAAACCAAGCCCCTTCCCCCATTAAAAACCAAAAAGCAAACAAAAGCCAACACACACACACTCACACACACACACAATATATATATATATATATATGCTTAATTTTTTCACAGGATATAATTGGCGCTTTTATGTAATAATTTCTGAGTAAGAGATGGATTGGAATGGCACATGGCACTCCACATTGCTGGGAGCAGAGAAAAAGAGTCTGTGGTTCCATTGTAGCTTCCCTGCATTTCCTCATATTGAGGAGCATAATTAATATCTGTTGGTGTTGTTTACTGTAATGATTACTTTTCTCTCATTGCTGAGACAAAATACCTGATGCCCAAAATTAAGGAAGGAAAGGTTTATGCAGCTCACAATTTATGGAGGTCTCAGTCCATACTTGGCTGGCTCCAAGGCAGGGTGGCACATGGCACAGGGCAACAGTTCATGGCGGTGGAAAAACAGCAAAGCAGCAAGAGCAAAACGGAGGAGTGGCAGCAAGCAGCCTCTTTCTCTCCCTTACATATGCAAAACCACCCACCCCAGAGCAGGTGTAGCACTCACACCCATAATCCCAGCATTAGACCATGGGTGGATCATAAATCTTAGAAACCCAACCCCATGACTGCATGAGGATTTGGGGGGACATGCAGACACAAACCATAACACTTACCAGTATCTGTTCTCCTTTCTTCTAGGAAGAATGGCTCATTTTTTTCTCCAGGGAACTATCCTGAGTAGACAGCACAGAAACAAGAGAAAAGAAAAGAGCTAGGTTTGAGGTAGAATTGGTTGAAAGAAATGAGAAAGCCCCTGGATGCTTTGCTTATGATGTCAACAAACCCATGTGAACACTAGAAGGAGCACCTATGTATGAGTTGCACTGCCTCCTTGCTCCCCACCTAAATTTCAGGAACTTGGAGGGAAGAGGATGATGCATTGCTATATAAACTGTTAAAAAAAAAAAAAAAAAACCCAAAGAGTTCCATTGCATAACAATTAAGCATAGATTAATTTAAAGTGTTCTAGAACAATCCAATTTTTTTTCTCTAGTCTTCCATTCTTACTTGGGTCTGTGTTAAGGTATTACTTAACCTAGGATTCCATACAAGATACAACAGACTAGGGGCCTTATATAAGACATATTTATGCTCTTGCAGTTTTGGGAGTGGGATTCCAAGATCAGCATGTTAGCAGAACTGGTTTCAGTTGAGACCTTTCTTTCTGATTGGCAGACAGCCACCTTCTCACTGGGTCCTCACGTGGCCTTTGCTCTGTGCACATGGAGAGGGAGAGAGAGAGATCCCAGTTTCTTAAGGATACCAGTCCTATCAGGGGTCAGGGTACCACCTGTACAACTTCATTTAACCTCAGTTATGTTTTTAAAAGCCTTATCTTCAAATATTGTCACATTAAGGAAATATAATTCAGTCTATAACAGATGTTTGCTGCTCACCAAATATCCACATGCTATCTGACATTTTCTAAGCCCCTCATAGCCAGTCAGGGTCATGTTAGTAGTTCTAGCCAATTGACTGTTGGCAAAAGATACATGTGTCTCTTCTGAGTGAAGATTTTAAAGCTGATGTATGATCCACCCTTCAATTCTTTCAGCTTTTCTCTTGATAACCTAGATGCTATGCATTCACAGTGATTCAGCTATAATATGAAGCAACCTTCATTAGCTGAAATCATTGAATGGCTATTTTGGAACACAACCCCAATTCATTTACACTGAAATGTATTGCAAATTAGAAATAAATTTTGTGGTATTAAACCTTTAACATTTCAGGGTACATATGTAATTAAGCAAAACCTATCATTTCCTAAGTAATTATGAAGCCTTATCCTTCAATAATGGTGAAAAGTGAACTAAATGAAAAGACATTTCACTTTCATGGCTCTAAAATCTTAACATCATTAACATGACAATAGTCCCCACATTTTTCCCTATTAAAATTCCAGCTTTTGGATTTCTGGGAAGATGACAGACTGGGGAAGAGCAGAGAAATAGCCTCTCTGAGATTTGGTGTCCAGATGCCTGAATATAGCAATGTGAGGAAGAGAAAAAGGAGGGAAGTGAGTCCCTGGCACCCAGCAAGGATCGAAAAGAGTTGAAGCACACAGGGAGAGCAAAGAGAGAGACCTCAATGCAGAAGAAAGAGGTAGCAAGAAGTACTTTTTCCCTGAGCCTTGACTCACTACATGGGAGGGGCAGCTCGAACTTGCAGATGCACAGTGACTACTGGTGACCCCAGAACTCTCCACAGAGGAACAAACCAGTGAGACAGAGCAGTACATAGTGGACCGCAATGGCTGGTGAGTTATTCAGCTTCAGACCTCAGGAGAGGGTGATTGGCTGGTAGCCATCTTGGGAAGGGGTCATCTGAGCTTGGAACAAAGAGCAGATGTGGGCTGGCTCCATCCTGCTCTCCCAGTATCAGAGGGAGGGGCAACTGAGTTCAAGTAGGAAGGAGGGTAAGGAGCCGAGTTCAAGCCATCAGGAGACAGACAGAGTGTTGCAGGCTGAACAAACTGGGTTCCAGCTTCACAGGCAGAAACCAGCCTGAACTTCAGTGGAACAAAAGGTGCAGCTAATGGGATTATCCATTACCCTGCTGTAAACCTATGGCTGGTTTATTGGGATTAACCAACATGGATCTGGGCTCTGTATGCCCACTCTGTCTACCAGTGATGGCAGAGATATGACCTGAAGTGGACATTTTTTTTCTTCTTTTGTTTTGTTTTGTTTTTCTTGTTTTTTTTTTTTTTCTATGAGTAAGTATTATTTCTAGTTTTCTTGTTGTTGTTCTGTTCTTATTTCTTCCTTCTTTTTCACTACTGTCTTCTTCATCAGTTTCCCAAAGTTTGTGTGATCCTCCTTTGTCCTCCAGTCTTACTTCTAATCTCTTCCTCTTCTTCTGTTTCTCTATTTTCTCCCCGTAACCCTTTTTAGGTTTTCTCTCCTGAGGGTAAAATTGCCACACTGAGGGCTTATTTACTGCTTACAACCTTCTGGTTCATTTTAGATTTTTGTTATATATAACCACAAATCTAGTTCATATAGTTAAAGGCAGCAAATTAATAGTCACCTCAGTTTGTCATTTTCTGGGCTGTATTTGATGCTATTGTACCACTGTATTTGGCTGATTGTACCACTTTATCCAAGGTGATATAATTGTTCTAATCAGTTGTTCTTCCTGATATACCAAGACTGAGATTGCCCAAGGGTCATAAACAATACTATAGGCCAGTGAGGAAAAACCAGGGGCTGAGCCAAATAGGTGACAAGTTCTTATCCCCAATATACTGAAGAGACAGGATCTTACAACAGACTCAAAACCCAAAACCAGTTACAACTGTAAGAAACCTGAGAGGCAGGCATTTCTTAAGGGTTCTAAATACTACCTGCCATAAACAATTTATAAGCATCAATCTAGGAATTAAACTAAATAAAATAGAAAATGAGAAGACACTTAAACAAGATTCCACCCCAGACTTCCAAGTTCTCCAAAGACAATCTCAGGGGGCAATGAGGTGGAACAATTTGAAAGCTATCCACCTGGACTCACTGAAGTGGTAACAGTGAAAGAAACAAAGCAGATAAATAAGATCCTAGGAAAAAAATCAAATCTGAAATAATCTGTCATATAATTATAGAGATGGTGATCATAATGAAAGACATGGTTAATGACCTTAGAGCAGACACAGATTAAAAAAATAAATAGAAAAGCTTTGGAAAATGATAGAAATCATCATTGCTCAACATAAAAAGAAAAGGAATCCATGAAACAGATTCAAACACATATCCAGGGTGTTAAAAATTTCACTAAAAGTAGATCCTGCAGAATGAGCCAATATGAGGACAGAATCTCAGATATAGAAGACAGAATCGAGATTAGCAAGCATGAAAAGAAAGATTTCTTAAAAATAACAAAGGACCATGAAAAGTCAATCCAACAGGTGCTAGATGATGGAAATAAGAATAACATAAGTTGATTGGAGTTAATGAAAAAACAGGAGATAGAGCAAATGACAGAAAAAATTGTCCATAGAAGTGATAGCAGAAAACTTCCTACTCAGGGAAGAAGAATTTGATATATAGATAAGTGAGGCATATAGAACTCAAATCAACCATGATCAAAACAAAACAAAACAAAACAACAAAAACCCCAAACTGTACCAAGACATAATAGTCAAGAGTCCAGAAAATCAATGCAAGAACAGCTTATTAAAAGCTATTAGAGGAGGAGATGTTAAAAGGAGGGTAGGGGAATGGGGAAAAAAAACCAAGTTATGTCATGTACAGGTACAAATTCTCTATGATGAATGTGATCATTCTGTATATCTAAAATAACAATAAAATCTAATCTTTTATTTTTAAAAAGCTGTTAGAAAAAAGAAACAAATCACAT